TATTTATATCACCTCTGCAAGATAAACTATACAGAGATTTTACCTACCCAAATTAAAGAAGATGACACCTCTATTTGCCTGAGAAGCTTTCTAAGATGAAGAAGGGAGTTCCTATGGACAGCAAATAGATGGTTTGTGATAAGAGAAAAACTACTTGAGAACATGGAGTTCATTACCAGTATAGATGCTCCAACCTGACTTTATTTAAGGAAATGGATGGAGCACTGTCCTCCTGGGGTTGCTTAGGCTTGGGCAATGCTTGCCAGACTTCTGATGTTTTAACAGCCCAGCATCAGTCTCCCTGATCCCCTGCCATCAGCCCCACCCTGCTAAATTAATAGATCATGTTTTTATCATGTTTTTCTATTTATCATATCATGCTAAGTCTCATACAAAAATCTTCCTTTGACTGTTGAGGAAACTGGTAACCAGGGAGGCTAAAGTCCTTGTTCTGCAGTTCACTGGTGTCAGAAACTGCTAAAACCAGGCGTCCCACATTTTATACTGTGTGTGCGCGTGTGCATGCACTTAGTCGTGTCCAACTCTTTGCGGCCCTGTGGACTGCAGCCCGCCAGACTCCTCTGTCCAAGGAATTTTCCAAGCAAGAATACTGGGGCAGGTTGTCATCTCCTACTTCAGGGTATCTTCCCAACCCAGGGATTGAACCTGCATCGCCTACACTGGCAGGTGGGCTCTTTACTGCTAGCGCCACCTGGGAAGTCCAACATCTATACTAAGTGGTGTAAAAAGAATATAAGATGCAAAAGGCATTTAAAAGATATTTGATGAAGGAAGAATATTTTGAGAATTTAAGAAGAGTTCTTTTGGAATTTGAAGTTATATTAGGATGCTCAAGCATGAGTATCATGCCCATTATTTTCCTACAAACCTCAATCAACTGAGCATTTACCACATTACACTGTGAATGCAATGGGAAAGCAAGTCCCTCCCAGGCCTCGCTCTCACTTCTTAGCATCCTCTCTCCTTTTGCCCTGTGGTCTCTCTCTCTTACACACACACACACACCACCCACCCCTGAACTCTGCTCTCAGTCCCCACCAAGTACAGAACTTGGTAGATTCTCAGCAAATATTGCTGATACAACTAGAGAGGAGTGTGTTTCCTGCAGGCATCTTTACATCCTCTGAAAGTCTATCTTCCTTGAATTTGTTTATGAAGCTCAAGCAAATGAGAGTCACTTACAAACTTATTCTGAGATCTCCACAGAGTTATAGAAGTAATCTGATGCTCTGGAGAACTCCTGCATATTAAAAACCAAAGGCCTAATTATGTTAATCAAAGTTTCTTAAATTTTAGTTTCCCTGTCTGTTGAATGGGGGACATGATGCTGTACAGAAAAGCATTTGAAAAGCATGAAGGGCTTTGCAAAAAATAAAAATAAAATAAAATAATAAAATCATCAGTGAATCTAGTAAAATGTTATAAAGACTTCCAAGTGCTTCAGTAAAATGTTTGATATCAATAAATGATACCTCAGCTGAACAAATCCTATGGGATGCTCACTTAGCCATGGATGCAGAACAATTGAAGGAAGATAGGTCACAAAAATGGTTGCTTGTGTTTACCTTTACTCCTTTTAGAAGAAAATAGGTCTCCAAAATGTAAATTAGAATCTCTTATCAAGTAATAAATAAGGCTTTAAAATTATCTTTTTGACTCTCTTGGAAAAATAATTGGTATTAACTCCACTAGTAGGCAAGATAGACAAGTGCTCTGGAAAACATCTCAAACACTGCTAGTGGAGATGTAAATTAGTGCAGCATTCTGGGAACAATTGATGAATTTCAGGAGTCTTAAAACTATTCACGCACATCTGGTGCTGGGGCTGGTGCTCAGCTACTTAATCACATCCGGTTGACCTCTGAGACCCCACGGACTGTAGCCCCCAGGCTTCTTTGTCCATGGGATTCTCCAGGCAAGAATATTGGAGTGGGTTGCCATTGCCTTCTCCAGGGGATCTTCCTGACCCAGGGATCAAACCCGCATCTCCTTCATTGGCAGACGGATTCTTTGCCTCTTGCCAAGCTCAAGCAATATGGTGGGCTGTGTATCAATTATAATGATGTTATAGATGAGTATGGTACTTTGAAATATGATTATCATATTAAAAGGGAAAAACAGGCTATAAGATAGTTTTCACTGTGCAATTGAATCCAAGCAGATAAGTATTAGACAGTATCCAGTGTATTTCTTTTGAATTCAGATCCATTCCTTCTCTAAAAATTTGGCTGTATTTCAAAAGAGCGAAATGAAATACCACTAATTTTAGTTCCTTTATCTCCTGGAATGGAGACCATTGAGAAATTTTCCTGGGCCAATATACTTTTCGTATTTAGTGTACTGCAATCCAAATGACTTCTAAATAATAGAATCATTTCTTTCATAACAGGTAAAGTCCTTCAAGCCATAACACAGTCCTAAGATCTCATTTAGTCTCATAACGCTACTGGAGTAATTATATACATAATTTCCCAACTCAAGAAATACTACAGCTATAAGATTTCAAATGCTTATAACAATTTTAAAAGCATGAACTGTAATCCTAACAATATTTATTATGAGATACTCAAAACACATGTACTTACAACTTAAAGTAATGTGGAATTTTAAGACTGATATTTGCATAATGTGTAAATACTGTTAAAGCTATACTGTCTTACAACCACTTAAAGGAGTATTAACTTAGTGTGACTTCAATTTTAATGTCTGAATTGGTGATTCAATTGATTTGCAGAGCAAAAAAGTTATTTTTACCCTCTTACAGCTCATGAATCTCTGAATACTGAAGAGATAACCTATTTGTTACCCAGGTTTTTATTAGTCCAACAATAAAAAGTCTTCCTCCAAACCTCACAAAAGTCATTTGATCACCCTCTAATTTCAAGCAAATAGATATTGTGCCTACATGCTCACACTGAGTATTACTAACATGGAGATACTTCAATTCTTCCCTAAAGTTATTAAAGTAGCATCTCTGACTTCCATTAACAGAAATGAAAACATAGTCATAATGTTGGTATCACATGCAAAAAATGTTTTAGTACTTTCATATCTATCCCATTTTTATTGTTAGCAACTTCATATGCTGGATCTATAAGTCTCATTATTTTGACAACTTTGAACTTCTCTGTTATGGAAATTTTACTTCAACTTTGGGCATTCATCTTTGGAACTAAAAATGGTAGTGATGTGGTTCATAAAATTTCTCTGAGCATTGTGAGCACAGAAAAAAAAAGACAAGAGAGAGAGAAGGAACACTCACAATCAAGCACCTTCCAAGCTAAATGGTGCCAATTACATGCAGCTGGGAAATGGAAGAAGCCGCTACAGCACAGAGGTTGGCTAGACTACAAGAGCTTTCTTCCACATGTGGTAAAGGAAAGCTGACCTCGCCACGTGGTGCCTGGGACAGGTAGAAAAGAACCCAGGAGATTAGCATCGACTTCACAAGATCAGATACGGTGACTACCGGCTATGTTCTTTGTTTTTGGCCAAAAGGATTGTAACTGGAGTAGCAAGTTTAAAAAAACAAAACACTTTCTTCCCCCCTTTCTCCCATAGTGAAACTTAGGTTTGTTGCTTCTGGTTTGAGGCAGATAGTAAGTTACCGACATCCATGTGATTGCTTTCTGGTTGCATTTATGATTACTAGAATAGAATTACAAATACTCCACTATTACTTCCAGTCCTCAGCCAGATGTGAACCCGCCAAGTTAAACAAAGACTTCAACTTAAGATTTCTTTCTCACTACTTTTTTTTTTCCTGATTGGTACAGAAAAGACAAGAAGCAAGTACTGATTAAATTCTTTAAATCCAAAAATTAGTGAGGGTGGCACTACTTACTTTTGTAATTCCGAGACAAGTGTCCACTGCTACATAGGATAAAGTCCTGAGGTTTAGATTTCAGCTCTCAATCACAATCCCTAAAGAGGGTTCACTAGGAAGAAAAAGTAAAGAGTCTCTGCTCTAGAAGCATTGATCACAAACTCCAAATATTTCTTGTCCTCCTTTTTCAACCCTTAAGAAACACATTCTAACAGCCCACATTTCATTTCTGGCTTGGGACACCCCCAAAAGGTCATTTTGAAAAGCACTCTGCCTTTTCTTTCACATTAATTTTATTAACTAGTTCAAAAGAGACAATTTGCCAAATGAGATATTTTTATGTGTTCTTTTCTTGAGTAAGAGCAATCATCTACAAATAAGTTTTCTATTAAAATGTACTCACAACAAAGCTCAAAACAAAATGACTTTTAAAATTAAAAGTTGTTATTATATGTGTAAGAGGCTAAAGTCAACTTACTGCTGAAAATACACACACAAAAAGGATAAATCGGTTGAAACTTTCACAAGAATGAAAAATGTTTAATAAACTTAGAATGGTGGGCTTATTAAACTATAGTGTTATTTACAGCCATAGTTCATCAACCACAAACACAATAATGTGTTTGCATGGCATGCTACAACAGAAGCTTTATTCAGTTCATTCAGAAAACATTGGCAAAATAAATTTCAATTGCAAATTCACAGATACAAGCTTCAAAGTATAAAGTTGTATATAACAAAAAATACAGGTAATATTTATAACAATAACTTACAGATACAAACTAATGATAAACTACAATTTCACAAAGGATTGTAAACATTTTGCACACTTGTCAGTCCTTTCTTTTAGGCAAAGTGCTCTTTTGATGACAAATAAATTAACAGATACACACTCGAGTGAACTATTTTCATACAATACAAAAAAAAGCTTTGATTTGTTTTCTTCTTGTAAACATAAGTTTTACAAAAAATGAAGAAATCAATAAAAGTGTCTTGCAGGCCAACTAGAGATACATACCTGGGCAGCAAAGTGATGTTGGAAATGCTTTGGGTGTTAAATAAAAAATTAACATTAATATATTTTCAATGGTATTTTATACATAACAAATGACAAGTTTATATCCTTAATCATTTCTATCCCTGAAAAAAGGAATTAAGTATGACTTATTGGCAGTTGTGTCATTGAATGGGGTAACAAGGGCTGGAGTCCAAGAGTTGTTGGTGAATGAGCTACAAAATAGAAAGAAATTTGTGGATCAGTTTTGTATGGTAAATAAAACTGACTTAAAAACAAACAAAAAACAATCCAAGGCAAAGTCCTCTCACTACTGATTATAGTGGGCACCAAGCTATACTCATTCCACTGACTTCAGCAGAGCATTAACTTATTCAGCATAGTGAGTATAGTATTATGAGAATCCAGGAATGGTTTACTCCAAAATCTTTATTTTGGGCCTCAAGCTTTTGCCACTTTAAAGTCCTCCATCCATACCCCATTCACTGCACTTTACCCTGCAGCCAGAAACACCACCTTCGTCTATAGAAATTTTGCTAAGTTTTATATGAAGTTTCCTCTATAGGGTGACTCCTGCCCCAAATTCCCATTTATGAATGTTTAACTGCCTCTTTCCTAAACATACATGAAAACACATTTGACTCAGGCAATACGACAGTCATTCATGTGAACACACACAAGTTTAATCCTAGTGTAGGTAAATGGCAACAATGATACAGGCTCTGATTTTTACTTTAGCCAAACCTTAAAATGAACTTTTCACTCTCAGCAAAGACTATGCTGCTTCAAACCAAATGTCCTTCTAAGAGCAACTAAGAAAGCTGGACAAAATTTTTTAAAAGCTGTCTGAAGGTATCTGAAAGATACCAAGGCAGTGACAGTTCTCAAAGTCAAGCCCCAGAGAAGGAAGGAAATAAAATGAGGCTACTTACCCTTCACAAGTGTAATAACAATTTCAAACGAACATGAGGGTCTAGGAGGCTGAGAAGTTTAGCAGGGTCAGGAGTTAGACTTTGGGCCATTGGGGAACAAATATGAAGGACCAGGTACCACCAAAGAGAAGCCCTCATTAAAAACAACAGACGCAAAACAAAACACAAGCTTTGGGGGGTATCCCAAAAGGCTACTGCCAAGAAGTGGTGACCCAGAAGCATGCCAGCCTTTGTGAGAACTGATGTCTGATTGGATTAAGTTGCTCTTCCCCTGACCTCTAACTTCCTGCCAATGGCAAAACTAAATTCTCTCTGGTGGAAAATATCCTATCCAGAGCTTCAAATTATTTCCAGTTTCTCATACCTCACATCTGAAGTGCAATAAACAAGCAAATACGACATGACTTGACCAAAAACAAAGAGGAAAAAACAATAGAATAGATTGGCAAAATATCCTGATATTGGAGTTGTCAAGTATGAACTTTAAAATAACTATAATTAGTGTAACAATTTTATTAAGGAATAAAGTGATAAGATAGATAATTCTGGTATAGAAATAAAAACTATATAAAAGAATGAAATGGAAATTCTAAAAACTGAAAACAATAACTGAAATTAAGACCTCAGCAAGTGAGTTTTACAGCATATACAGAGAGAGAATTAGTGAATTGGAATACAGGTCAGAAGAAAATATCTAGTCCAGAACATGGAAGATCAAAAGGCTAGAAAATATGGACTTCAGTAATACCAGAAATAATATTTGAAGATACAGAAAGTTTGTATAAGCAAATACATCAAACTTTCATATGCAAGAAGCATATCTAGGCACATTCTATAAAACTTAAAACCAAGCACAAAGAGAAAAACTGGGGGAAAAGGACATTCATTTTTAAAGGAGGAAGAATGAGAACAGCAGCTGACTTCAACAATAAGTGGTGTCAAGTCAATTAACTATATTCTAAATAACAGAGACAATGGAAGAAAACTATTTTATTCATATTGTCAATGTGCTGAAAGAAATAGCTGTGGAAATCAACCTAGATTTCCACATATAAAGGAAAAGCCATTTACAATTAACTACATCAAAACAAAAACCTATAAAAAAAAAACTAACAAAAGATGTGCAAGATTCCTAAACAGAAAACTCCAGAATATAAGAGAGCATTTGAAGGTGATCTAAACAAACAGAAAGACAGACTAGGATCATGGTTTGGAAGACAATATTATTAACATGGTGGTTTCCTACAAACTGATTTAATAGATTACATCAAAATCTCAATTGTTTTCTCTTTTCTTGGTGGAAAAAATATGGGAACATAAAGGGTCAAGAATAAGCAATACAAACTTAAACAACAAAACAGGATAACATGTATTACTGGACATCAAGAATTATATATCCAGCATTAGTAAAACAATTAGGTATTGATACAGAAATAAATAGACCAATAAAACAGAATAGTATGTGCTAAGTCCCTTCAGTCACACCCCAACTCTTTGTGACCCCATGGACAGTAGCCCTCTAGGCTCTCCTAAGGGTACAGAAATTGACATATAAATTATACGGACACTTGACTTATGACAAATGCAGCACAGAAAATCAGCTGGGAAATTGGCACTTTCATAAACATAACAAAGACTTTGTCCTTATTTTACACTACATAGAAACTTCAATTCTAGATGGACTATAAATCTAAATGTCAAGGTAAAACATGGTTAGTGAAGTTTGTAGAAGATACCAAAGGAGGAATATATGACAAAGGCCCATTTGGTCAAAGCTATGGTTTCTCCAGTAGTCATGTATGGATGTGAGAATTGGACCATAAAGAAAGCTAAGCACCAAAGGATTGATGCTTTCAAACTGTGGTGTTAGAGAAGACTCTTGAGAGTCCCTTGGACAGCAAGGAGATCAAACCAGTCAATCCTAAAGTAAATCAGTCCTGAATATTCATTAGAAGGACTGATGCTGAAGCTGAAGCTCCAATTCTTCGGCTACCTGATGCAAAGAACTGACTCACTAGAAAAGACCCTGATGCAGGGAAAGATTGAAGGCAGGAAGAGAAGGGGATGACAGAGGATGAGATGGTTGGATGGTATCACTGACTCAATGGACATGAATTTGAGCAAGCTCTGGGAGTTGGTGATGGACAGGGAAACCTGGTGTGCTGCAGTCCATGAGGTCGCTAAGAGTCAGACACGACTGAGAAAATGAACTGAACTGATAGGAGGAATACCTTCATTATCTTTGAGTAGGAACAATTCTTTGAACAGGTCATAAAAAAAGCATTACTCATGAAGGAAAAAAACTGATGATTACATTCAAATTAGGAACTTGTGCTCCATAAAACATACCCTTAAGAGAATGCATATAATCATGAAAAAACATATCTATATGCAATACACAGCCAAAGTTAGCACAAATCAAGGAAAAACAAAACAGATAAGCCAATAGACCAACAAGCAAAAGACATGAACAGGTACTTCACAAAAAAACAATATACAAACGCCCAAAGAAAAAATACTCAGGCTCATCAGTGATGAGGGAAAAGCAAATGGAAATAATGAGATAGCACTATACAACCACTAAGCTGGCTAAATTAAGAGGTCACACTACATCAAGTGCTGGAGAGGATTGTAGAGCACCTTGAACTCTCATGTTCTGCTGGTCAGAGTGTATACTGGTTCAACCAGTATCAGAAACTTTATGGCAGAATCAACTAAGATTGAACATATGTGTAGCCAGGACCCTATACCCTACTCTTAGCATATATATACTAAATAAAAAACTGAATTAATGTGCACCAAAAGGCGTGTACAATGAGGCCCACAGCATCATATACATAAAAGCCCAAACCGGAAATAAAATGAGTGCCTACCAACCCTAAGTGGATAATGGTATCCCACAGTGGAATTTTGTATAACAATGAAACAAACCACTGATTCTTGCAACAATACAAAGGAATCTCACAAACAGAGTTGAAAGAAGTGAGACACAGAATACATTCTGCAAGGTTTGATTTATATAAAGCTCAACAAGAGGCAAAACCAGAACACGATTTTAGAAATCAAGGCAATGTTACTTTGGAGGAAGAGGATAATGACTGGGAAGGGTCATAAGAGAAGCTTCTGAGGTGCTAATTATATCCTACTACTTCCTCTGGGTAGTATTTACATAGATATGTTGATTTTATTAATTCATCAAGTTGAATACTTATGTGTGTACTTTTCTATATAGGTTTTGTTTCAATAAAAAAGTTTCTTTAACAAAATTCAGTAAACCTCAATCTAAAAATCTGAGGGTGAATACTGTCTCTGACCATAGGAAAATAAATTATTCAAATGGTTATCAGGTCAAAACAAAAAGAATGTTTTTTTCTAAGTAAAAATCAAGCACTATCTATGAGTCATTATGAATATCTGTATTTTAGCTGTAAAGTGAGTGTGATGCATGCCCCTTAAAAGGCTGCCACAGAAGTAAGAAGGTTGGGTAGTTCTTCCTACTGCATCCCTCTCCCACAGTATTTTTCAGCTACTACTGAGGTAATATTGCAAAGTGTGAATCCTATTAATAATATAATACTAGGAGGTATGAGTGATGGTTTGAAAGGCAGCTGTTAAATGTTAGGATACCTACCATCCATATAACTATGCAGTGCAGTTAGCATCGTCCCATCTTGGGGCACGTAGGCAGAGTAAGCCATTTCTTCTAACATGGGTGGAGACAGTCTGGAGGGCGGCACTGCTGTGACTGGGGCAGAGGAGGAGTGGTTAGGGCTGACATGCTTCTTGTGGCGAGCTCTACAGTTCTGAAACCATACCTGAGAGAGGAGAAAAGCAACAGGAGCTATGTCACATCGCAGCTGAGTAAAACACCAGTTCAATACAACAAAGGATGCAACTCTACCATATAAGCACAGCATAAATCTAAAGCAGCTTTCTTTAAAAAAGAGTTCTGTAGACACAAGAAAAATCATTTTGCATGGTTATCAACAGTCATTTTCTTTGCCCAAATAATAATTATCTGATGATTTAACTTAAAACTGGTTCTATAATAAGCCAGCATCTTCCAAAATAAAAACAGGGGAGGGGATTCAAAATTTCAGAAAAGTTTCCTTGGTTCTCCTACTGACATTTGGGACAAAAAGAAAAACGGTAAAAACCCTTTCATCAGAAATTAAAAAAAAAAAAAATACACTACTCACTGTATTCTCAGACACCTGCTAGACTTATTTGAAATCCATTTTCAAATGATTAAAATCCCCACTGAGAATTTAAGGCTTTCTACAAACCTCTTGATTCAGTTATTCCAGTCTCTTGGTAACCTGCTGAGTTCAATTTCTCTTAGTAAATACAGAGGCTATTCTTTAAGAAGCAGGTTACAGTCAGGCTTACAGAAGGAAACAACTAGCAATATTTAAGTAGAATAAAATACAAACACATCCACTGGTGAGACAGTTCACCAAATGTAAAGAGCTAACCGCCTTGTTGTTCACTCCATCACAGAAATAAAGGAAGCAAGTTCTGGGTTAAGCAGATTCATATGCAGGTCAGGGTAAACAAGTCTAGACCTCCCAGAATGCTTCCAGTAACTAAGCTCCCTGCATGTGAACTTCCTGCTCGTAGATAAAACCTGCCTACAGACTGTTCCTTCATTAAAATATTACAGCATTTATTTGCTATCACTCCAAACAACTCTGTCGTAAGAAGATAGAGAAGTGGAGGGATAAAAACTTTATAAGGAAATTAGGACAAGAACATTTGGGGATCAAGGGAGAAGGTCAGGGGCATAAGTCTCTGCCCAGGACTGGCAGGCAGTTAGTTGACGGCTCAAGGGAATCAGGGCTGAAAAATGTGGAACAGAGGGCTGAACAAAAAAAAGATTTATTAAAAAGTTGGCCTGACTTCAAAAGGCATACCTTGTTATCCTCGGGACTCATAAACAGAGGTATAAACTCAAGGGGTTAAAACCAAAGGAAAAGAAGTCTGAGCAGGTGGCTGAGGGGTAGCATCTAAGGAGTATTTCGGGAACAAGCTTAGGCGTGTATCAAGGAAAATGATGTAGTCACAGCCTGATCACCCCTGTTCTGGAGCACGAGCGTGACTCAGGTATCCATACAGAGACTTCATCCAAAGTCTTCGGTCACAGTTCCCTTTACAGGCTCCTGAACAACAGGCGCCACTGCCGTCACCCAACCAGCCAAGAAGACACACTCACACATCCTCCAACTTTTAACCGGGGACGGCTGCCACCTGCCTTTTCCCCTGACGCTGCCCAGAGGACAGGCACCCCAGAGGACCACATTAACCCAAAACACATGGCGCTACGATTCCCAGGGTTTCTTCAAGGTATCTTATGTCTCCAATAAATTATATATCAGATGGAAAATATGCAGTTTTTTAAAAAAAAATTCAGACTTTGGAAATAAATATGAAGCCAGCCTGATGCTAACAGTAGAATAACTACCTTAATGTAATTCAAATACCTCCTAGAAAAAAATCATCAGGTAATTAAGCAAAGAGAGGTTTGAAAACACAAGTGTCATGTAACTTGCACATTTAAACAAAGCTTAAGATTTCAGGCGTCAGAAAACTTCTGACATGAGGACTATCTAGCTTGAGGAACGAAATACAAGTCCTTTTGATTGTCCTTACTGACTTAAAATCTCCTCTTGCTTTGCAAACCTCTTACAGAGTTAAAATTTCTTCTAAGTAACATATTTTTCAAAAATCTGAGTTGTAAATTGTAAAATACATAAGCTGAAAGCAGGCCACATAGACATTCTGTAAAAGAAAAGACTAGTGCCTTAGATCAATCTCTTAGAAAACCCAACGGGCCAAATAAAAGAATTTAATGTATGAAAAAGATGTGATTTTAAATGACTGGGAAATTACAGCTGGCATAGAATTGATTAGAGAAAGCTAACTAATCATTTAGGGGGAAAAAAAGAGAAAAATCTCAACTTTACAACATGTACCCAAAAGTCCATTACAAATAAATAAGGGTTTAGATATAAATAATTGGGACCATGAATGTTTATCAAAACAAAAGCCAATGTTGATATATTTCTCTATGTGAAGCAAGAAAAAGGCCAAAGCTATCAGAATAAAAAATATGAAGAGATTTGAATACAAAACAATGTAAAATTTCTATGTGGAAAAAATAAATGAAAAGGCAATTGATGAACTATGAAAGCTTAACATGATAAACAATAAAAATCAGTAAGATAAAGAGAAAAGAAATGACCCAACATAAAAAAATCAGCTAAAAAATACATTTTTAATCACAATATAAGCAAACATATTAAGGTTTACTGATATAAAAGAAAGATAAATAAAAACAATAATATTTTCTTATGGGCAATTGGAAAGGATGTAAAAGAATGATAGTTTATAGGATTTATCCACATTGAGGAAAGATAAATTTCGTATGTAGATTCTGGGAGAATAAATTGATTATGAACTTTCTGCAATGTGAATTTTATACTATCAGTCAAAGGCTCTTATAATCTCTTTATCTTTTGATTCAATCATCTCACTTCTAGAAATTTATCCTATAGATACCACTGAACAAATGCACAAAGTATATACACAATGTTCTTCATTATAGCATTTTTATGATGTAAAAAAGTTCTTAATAAACTAAATAAATTATATAGCAATACAAAGGATGTATATTTTAATATGGAAAGAGAACTCCAAGCACACTGGGTGAAACAGCAATGTTTTGTCATGTTTCTGTAAGATATACAATTCATAATTCAACTTTGTGAAAGGATATGTGAGCAGTGATTATATCTGGATGTACAGTGTTAAAAATAAAATCACCCATCTTTGTTCTGTGATTTCAGCTCAGTGATGACCTACCCTGTTACAATGTCTCACTATGCAGACTTTCAAGGCTTCCCTGGAGAAGGTTCAGATGGTTAAGAATCTGCCTGCAATGCAGGAGATCCAGGTTTGTTACCTGGATTGGGAAGATCCCCTGGAGAAGGAAATAGCTACCCACTCCAGTATTCTTGCCTGGAGAACTCCACGGACAGAAGAACCTGGCAGGGTACAGTTCACAGGGTCTTAAAGAGCCACACACGACTGAGCGACTAACAATTTTCACTTTCATGCAGACTTTAGCTAGTAAAGGTGAGACCTGAACTTATATCCTGTATAGGACCAGTATTTCCACCTAATATTTGGGTAACCTAGTTTGCATATAAGAATCAAGGCCTAGTAAATCTTTTTTCTTTAACATTTCTTTTTTTTTTTTTCATTTATTTTTATTAGTTGGAGGCTAATTACTCTACATCATTGCAGTGGTTTTGCTAGGAGCAGCTGGGCAAAGAGGTTCTGACTACTATTTGAGTTCACAGTAATTAATCCTTCAAAAATACTGTGAAGGACTATATATTTGAGTTGTTAGTACTCCTTTGCCATCTTATCAAAATATTTAAATTTAACTCTTACATATTAAAAGCCACCACCCAACAATATCTTCTCCAAGTTCTAGGGCTTGCAATGTAGTTAACTTGTTCATAATACTGGTGACCTAAATACCTGGAAATTATATGAGAGATGTCTGGGGTTCTTACTTCTTCAAACAATAAAGAAAGCTCTCAGAAAATCCTCCATTTTCCTTTGCTTCCAACTTCAAAATAGTCTAAAACATAATAACCATGAATCTGAGTTAGCTACAGCAATCACTGTCACTGAATGTACAGAGTCTTAGATTACAAGGACCCTCTCAGACCATTGGGTTGGACCTACCTCAACAAAGGAAGTTTCCACTTCCAGGTAAAGGAAACTCACCATCTCAATGGTGTGTGCTAAGTCGCTCAGTCATGCCTGACTCACTGTGACTCCACGGACTGTAGCCTGCCAGGCTCCTCTGTCCATAGCATTCTCCAGGCAAGAATACTGGAGTGGGTTGCCATGCCTCCTTTAGGGGATCTTCCTGACCCAGGGATTGAACCCATGTCTCCAGCATGGGCAGGCAGTTTCTTTATCAGTAGTGCTCAATGGTAGCTGATGCCAGTTTTGTAGACTTACATACTGAGAAAATTCTTCACTGTGAGTGAAATCTGTTTTTCTCCTACATTCCCTAGCAGAGACACGATCCTGCCGCCATTCATAACCATTTAAAGACACCTCTGTTTATACTCTTCCTTCCCTTACCATCTCTGGATCTTTTCTCCAGATAAATATCCCTGTTGCTGTTAATAACAGCACATGATTTCCAGACTTTCATGACCTTAATCTTCTTCTAAAGGGAGCACTCTTTTCACACTGGTTCCTTGTTAGCCCCTTTCTAGAATCTGGCACTCTGAGACAAACACAATGCCCTGGACATCTGAAAGTACTGATGTCATGGGACTTGCCTCCTCAGACAGCCTCATTACACTGCACTTAACCAAATCCACTGCAAATCTAGGTCTTCAGAGAAGCTGAGGTATCGTCAGGTCTCTCCCACTGACTTCTTGGAATAAATGATCTTTTAATTATGAAATACTTCAGGCTTACTAGAAATAAACTGAAGAATAAACACCTGTTTACCCACCAGCCAGTTTAAAAAATAAAACATTATAGTGCAGTGTTAGACTTAACTGTTTCCCCCCACTGAACTTCATCTTGATAGTCAGTCACTTGCATCATTACTCCGTTATACCTTTTTAACCTTAAATATTATCTAAAATTGTTTTCCATTTCCCTAATCGAAGGGAAATATAAGATCCTGACACAGTTGACCACCTCCATCTTGAATCCACCTCAGCCCTTGGGCCTCCATGATGCTTCTACACTAGACTCATTCCTTGGTTCTGGCTGTGATGGTCCAGTTCAAACAGCTCGCTCCATAAAGTTCATTCTTTAGCTTTTACTGTCCACAACTTCTCTATAAAGGATCTAATTTCATGAATCTTATTCATCCTTTGTAAAAGTTGCTCAGTTGTGTCCGACTCTTTGTGATCCCATGAACTGTAGGCTGTCAGGCTCTGTCCATGGAATTCTCCAGGCCAGAATACTGGAGTGGGTATCCATTCCCTTCTCCAGGGGATTTTCCCAACCCAGGCATCGAACCCAGGTCTCCCGCACTGCAGGCGGATTCTTTACTTTCTGAGCCACCAGGGAAATGTATCCATGGAAATGGTGTTTCATACTTTAAAATACCAGTTTACATGCTCAACTGCCGCCATCATTGCCTGATAATCAGAGCTGGAAAGGAATTCATCTCCCTCCCAACTGCTGAACCCACATTTTAAAAAACCTTTAATATTCCTGTCAGTAGCACCACTTCCATGGATACTTTGACTTCAAATATAAGTCATCTTTGATGTCTCTCTGCTTCACCATTACAGTGTCCAGGTCTTTTTCCTTGTCTCTCTTGCATCCAGTGCCTGCCATTAGTGTTCAGTCGATAAAATGCTTCAGAATGAATTTGAGACCACCACCTAAGTCTCTTTTTGAAAAATCATTATTTTGCTGGGCATCACACCTAATCTGTCAATCTCCATGTAGCCTCTCCCAACTCTAAGTCTTCCTATGTACTGTTACCAGTCCTTTCTTCCTAAAAATACATATCATGGTTTTCTCCTGCTCAGAAGCAAACTTGATATTCACGGGCCTCTCTAAGTTCAGCTCAAAAAATTCTATTTCCCACAATTTGCAAACATAAATTTTATCTTCCAACAAATTTGCTCCAACTTATCCTTCCCTACTTTTGTTTACATCATTCCTTCTACCTGGATCTTTAATAAAGGTCATCAACATTGCCCACCCCCTGCACACATCCACATCCACAATCATAGAAAAGTAGAAACAATTCTGGCTTCAGAAGATCTAGCTTCAAACCATAGTTGCTTTTTAGCCTTAGGATCTTAGGCTTGCTCTGAGCAATGAATGAAGTAACTTCTGCAAAGAGCTGTCTAACAAATGGTAGCCTAGATCAAGCAGGCTAACTAATTATCAGGCTTTAAAAAAAACTGATTTAGAATGTGAAGAGATCTAAAATGAGAAGCTAATGCTTTGACATTTTACACACACACACACACACACACACACAGAATGTACACTTATAAAAACCTAGAATAGAAGTTTTAGTATCTCTTGATTAACCTTTAAAATAGTCACCTGTATCACACGTCTGCTCAAGCCTGTCCTTTCTGCCAGTTTCTGGAGAGTCTGTGCATCTGGGTTGTTGTCCTGAGCAAACTGTGCTTGCATAACCTGTTTTTTTAAAAAATGTAGGTAGTAAATAGTAAATAGCTAAAAATAAGAAGCTCAATCTTCTGAATTTTGATGACAGGAGAGATAAGGCATGCACAAGAAAATGGAGTACTTGTATTTTACTACTTGAAAATCAATACAGAGAAGTGTATATCAATGAAAAGAATGCATATTAGGTAAAATGATGCACAAGTTGCTATGCTGAAATCTTTAAAAGATCAATTTCAACATAAAAACTTGTCTCTCAACTATGCTGTTAAAAATAAGCTCACCTTTTCTTCCATTCTTACAACCCACAAAAAATGCATAATAGTATAAGTCCATTTACTATTTTTCCCATTTTGTTAAAAATTACTAGCATTAAACAATTTTTAAAAATATAAAAATCATATCTTTGACCTCTACTCAACTAAACAGGTTCAAGGCTCCTACATCAATTTGTCTTAGTATGAAAATAGTAGACAGTGCAACAGATTGCACTCCACTTAATTGCAATGACTCCATCATTCATTATTTCGACACTTGTTCTATGCAAAGGAACATCTGGGACCTTAAAAGAGAGACACTCATCAGTCTATTGCATAAGAATTTCCTGAGATCTAAACATTCATAGATTGAAAAGCTCCCAGGTGATTCTGATGTGAACCTTTGGATTGGAACATGGCCTCAGCTGCCTGGGAGAAAAATATATGCATGCCAATAATTAACAACAATACAAGCTAAAGTGAGAAGCACGGAGTGGAGGAGGAGGAGAAAGAGGAGTTCCAGAATAAAAGCACAAGCAAAGGGCTTTGGATTCCTTCAGAAAAGGAAGTAATGGGAATCAAGCAAGATATTTGAATTTTATTACTTAAAAGTCAATAGAGGGAAGTATAAAATATAAAGAAAATATTATAAGAATGAAAGAGTGGAGCCTAGCATCCAAATGATTGTGCATGTCCTGGGCATGGGATGGGGGACATCTACCTAACCTAAAGTCCTGCTGACCCTGACACCATTTCCAACAGTCAAGATTAACTGCGTCCTCTGCTATGTTCCTCAAATAATACCATCTTCTGCCACTGCACTTGTCACCAGGTAGCTAGCTAATTTGCTAGCAAGCCGAACTCTTCATAGGAGAAAGTGAGTTTCTGGAGGGCAAAGGGAATGTCTTATCCATTATATCTGGAGATAATGCCCAGATTAACTGAATGAACCTCCACAATGTGCAGAAAATCTGAAGATAGTGTGGAGAAAAAGACCAATGTTGTCCCGGGAAACCTTATGAGGTTTAAAAATTATGTATTTTTTTTTCAGTTAAGTTCTCACTGATAGGGGCTCTTCCAGAATAAGGCATTCCTGGATTCCAGGCCAATATACTTGTCCACATAGTTGCTGTAAACTAGCACTTGTACTTTTGCTTTTAAAAATGGGCAGAAACAGCCTAAAAGTTTATTTAATCATGCCCAGTTCGCTTCATTCTTCCTCTCCTACTACAAATGTGTTAGTTTAATATCTTCATATACAAACAGTTGTGCTTATATGTAGTTGAGCATGTAACATCCCAAAGAGAAAAAAAGAATGAACAAATTAATGTCTTTGTTTTTTTAATTTTTCAAGGAGGAAAGCTGAACAGATATTCATTTGTAATGCCATAATGGATAATTTATAAAACAAAAAACATATGCTCTTCACAAATGCATTTCAAATTCACAAGTTTAATAATGGAACCAAATTACATTTACTAAAGCAATTTCTCATTAAGGAATAATGGACAACTTAAATCAACACTGATGGTTTAAAACTGGAACATGCTAATGGAAAAGTAAGATGTACTCATCAGTGTTTAGTCTCACAAAAGAATCCTTTTAATTTTGACTTGGTTTCATTGCTCTCCAGTCACTAATGATGCCAAAAATCTACCCTATTACTCTTCTGAGCTATTTAAAATGGTCAAGGATCTAGCCTCTGTAGACACATCATTTTAAAGCCAGCAAGTCTACCAAAAATGTCGAGTCTGCATAGTAGCAGCTGACCAACTTAATCTGAAAGTAGATTAAAGTAGGTGCTAACCCTGGCCTGTTTAACATGAATAAGCATTGAGCAAGTACTTCCAACTACAATAAGCAAACCATAACATTGGCAGGAACTTTTACAATACGATTTATACAAATGAGACAATATTTGAAATAGTTTTGCCAACACAGAATAGTCTATTTTTAAGTGTTAAACTATTTTTTTCTTCTCGTAATTTTCTAAAGAATTTGGGAAGCTTGTTCCTCATACTTTAACTCTTCTAAGTCCAAACAAGGTAGGTACTGTATGAATAGTCTTGACTTACTGATCACCTATATTTTATTGTTTTGCTAAATTCAAGCACTACTTAAATAATTAGCTTTCTGAAAAGTAGGACAACTTAACAATGAGGTACATGGCCTGATTTTTAAAGCTTCTAGTAAAGTATAATGATTTAACTTATTCTAGATACCTAAGCAACAAGGAACACTTGAGGACAAGATTATGCCTCATTGTTTCAGTCATTCCTGGCATAGACAGATGCTAATAAACACTGAATAAATGAGAACATGCTTAGAAAGAATATAATTTCTGCTTTCATTTTTAAAAAACCTATGATTCTGGTATAAATTTTTAAAAACTCATGATTCAGATCACATTTTCATATAATAATGCATGGCTTAAGTAGTTTTTATGCACATTTGCAATTTAAAACTATAAAGCCATCTTCAAGATTCAGAATCTCACTCTTGTTTTAGATGCCACAGCCATTAAATGGAGTCTTGGTAAGGCACAGTTCTACTCATGGTCTCCTGGGAGGCCAACGAAAATTAAAAGACCAGAAGTTTGGGAAGTAGGGTCCAAATCTCTTTGCCAATCCCTTGGCTGTCTGCCTTGGGGGGGTCCCTGCAGTTTTTGGATGAATTGTAAGAGATGAAAGAAGAAATTACAGGAAGTTATCTGGCATAGGACTTGTAAACAAAGACCTCCACAAATATTATTCCCTTTCTATTTAATCAGTATCTATACTTTCCAGATGAGATTGTACATATCTACCTAAAAGTTGCTTCAAATTTTCAGTTACCCTTTTACTAATACATTTTTGTATCGAATTAAAGTTATCAGTCTTATGACTATTAAAATTACAGCCAGTCTTTCACAGAAACAGCCCACTTTATACACAGAACATATTTATATTAGAGATTATATTTTAAGTCAGACACCTTTTAGCTACTGGGTATTTTGCTACCAGGTCTCCCACAGGTATACGTATCCCCTAACCTGGGGCTTTACGTGATTTTCATGATAACCAAATGAGGCACCCAGAAAAACAAACTTCAAACAGATATTTCTTTCAGCTGCCTTACCTTCCATTTTCTACTTACTATGTCGTCGATGCCTGAAGTAAGGAATCAAAAATTATTTTCTGGAATTTATTTTAAGAATGGATCTAGACTTTAAAGCTAGATTGCTTTCTCAGGGACATTAAGGTCCTTTGGGATATTTATGTCATATCAAAGCTTCTTTCTTAATCATTGTCAAAATATTCTTTTACTACATTCATCTTAAATACTAACAAGTATTAGAATACTATCAGTGATTTTTCAAAAAATTACCTTCACTCATTTATTAACATTGTATAAATATCTTCTAAAGTCTGAGCTAAGACGATACTATGTGTAAAGCACCTATCCAAACATACATGGTAGGTGCTCAATAAATGTTACCTCACCTTAACAAAAAGCAAACACTTCAGTCACACTAATCTTTTAGAAAATGATTTATCTGAAAAAAAAATGTCAGAAATAATCACTGTGTGTACAGACTTAAATAAAAAGCAAAGAGTAATTATTTCATTATTTTCCTGACTATAAAAACAAGTTATGACAATTATATTTAGGGCAACTAAGTTGAAAATAATCCCTCCATTTTCAGGGAACATAATCAAACTTTAGCATCAAATTATAGAATTACTCCCTCTACCCCCTTTAAAAACAAGGAAAGGTCTACTTGATTGCAGTCAATCAGTAGATTTCTATTTATGGTAAGGCATGTTCAATTCCTTCCTACTCAGAAAATGTACAATCTTGTCTATTAAAAGACTCCATGCAGTTTGTTAAAAAGATGAACACATCAGAGTCCCACAGACCCACATACTGAATATTTCTTTCTGTTAAGTGTCCCAAAATGTTCTGTCTTCTACTAAAATCACATGTAGTAACATAAATACCTGGGTTAAAGTAATTTTTTCAGGAAGTTAGGACAGAGCAACATTTTGTTTGCACCTTGATGTTAATGTTAACAGACATCAGGGAGACAAACTTGCAGGGCAAGTTCACATCATACCACGACTCTTGGAATATTGATAAACAATATTTAGGGCAATGTTTTTATACACTCAACAAGTCAGTTTGCACAAAAGCACAGACTAACCTTTTTGAAAAAATAAAAATGTTTTAAGACAGCATAGACATTGCTTTTTGTTTGGCTTTTGTTCGTTTCGGTATTTTTTGTTTATAAGGGTTTTTCTTTTTTTTGGTGGAAAGGGGCTTCAAAAACTGAAATGCATCGTCATGTCTACCTGGAGCTGGTCTGCTGTAAAGCTGGTCCGAGCTCTTTTTGCTGGTTTTGGATGATTAACATCTTGCTCTGTAAGGAGGGCGCCTTCAACACTAATCCCATTACCTGCATTTTAAAAAACACAGCAAATGTGTTGGTAACTCAAATGGGAGCAGTCATACAATAATAGGTTTCTTGCATCTCTTGGCTTGGTATGAAACTGTATACATCTTCTAGTTTGCCAAATCCCTTAAGATTTAGAACACACTAGAAACATAATGTAGAAACAACATTTCATTTGCAGGCTTATATATTTAGTCAAAAGTGCACCAAGTTGGAAGTGCACATCTAAGGCTCACCCTTAAAAAGGCAAACACAAGGAAACAACTGGTTACAAAAAGCAAAACAGAACCCTAAACTCAAGGCTGCTTCCTGAGAATATGGCACAAGGCAAATACATATGCCATGGCTTTTCTTATAAATAAACAGATGGAGACCATCACTAACAGTAGAGGGCTTAATGAGTTTCACCACAATTACTCTGCACAAAATAATGCTTTAAGACGACCTTAGGAAAAAAATCATTTTTATCCCTGTGTTCACTGTCCCAAAAGATTCAAAAGTATTTTAAGTATATATTTACCATTTTCCACTTCTCTTTTTAAATTATCCAGCATGCAGTCATAATGCACTCTGCAGAGGACTTTCTCTTCCACTAAAGCAAACTCCTCGCCCGTGGAAAGTTGTCTTTTGCAAGAAAAGCAGGCAAAGCACGCCAAATGATAGACATTCCCCTTGGCCCTCCGGACCCAGTCAGTAGAATGGATGTGCCTCCCACAGCGAGAGCAGCGAGTTCCATACCTTCTACATAAATGGGGGTGGGGGGGGGGGGAAGGATGTGCAGAGGGTGAAGAGTTAATGCTTGGTGAGATATTCATCAGTCTAGGATTAAACTAACACATTATATTACTCATTGGATTAACCCAAGTATTTAAATCTTTTGAAAATGAAGCAGGAATCAATTATTTTTTAAAAGTCAATATGGTAAGCAGCAGCAAGACTTGAGAAGGGATCATAATTCAAAACTGTTTATAAAACAAAAACTTCTCATTGTTATTCTAGAGGAGGATAACATTTTTTTCTTTTAAAATAAATGAAATATGACTTTCAATACCCTTCTTGTAACAAATATCAGGACATTTATAAATTATCTAGAGACTCAACATAACACACACACACACTCCAGACTGAAAAAAACTAAAAGTACAAAGCCATACTATTGAAGATACAAATAATGATGTCTTAAAGCCAAGTTGAGACAATTAGAAAATGCTTTAAAATTTTTTAAAAAGTTAAAACATTTAAAATAGATATTATCAAAGAATGACTAGAACAGAAAATTGTTCACTCTGGTACATGAGGAAGGAAAACTCAGAACTGCTCCCTTTGGTAAACAAGCTCTTGCATTACCATCCACAAGAGGAGGAGAAATATTACCTAAAACTTTTAGACACATATCTGGACATTAAATGCACGTTAATCTTAACAAAATGCCACATGTAAAGATTTCCTTTTCCTCTCAGTCCTTGCGACACTCTGTCATATCTCCCACCACAACTGCAATCATAGCCTGGCATATCCACATTAAACTAGAAAAGTATATGTGTCTATTCATTAACATATCTCAAGAGGTATTGCTAGTTTTTAAGTTAATCTGAATCATAAAAATCAATTTTTGAATATAGTAAAATAAAGGTATTAAAAAAATCCTGAAGAACTAGACTTGTAAAAAGTCTCTGAAAACAAACATTTCAAGCAGCTTTAAATTAAAAAAAAATTAAGATTAGCATACCCTATGTGAAAGAGGAGGCAAACTGCTACGGTTTTTGAGGAAACAGAAAGTAAACCTGATGAGAAATATATGATTTGGGTAATTATAAAATCCTATGATTTTATAAAATAAAGGACTCTGGGTTTCGTGAAGTGCTTTAACTTGCCTAGCAATTTTATTCAAATCAATCACTAAACTCTTAAATCAGTTTTTGAAATTAAGTATAAACAACATAATTAGTATTACAAACTTCACTATGTAGTATTAACTTTCCAATTTCACAATGAACATTCTTCTTCCTTTGGAAATACAAATAAAGGAAAAAGGTGATAATTTTTAAAAGTCCTGCTTAAGGATGACTTCAAGGGTGACTTGAGATAGCTATCCATTAAGAATTGAATTCTATCCTTGAGGAAATTTTCCATTTAAACGATTATAAAGAGACCAGGCAGAGAAAATGTTACGTTTAATACCCTAGGCAAATATAATTACACAAAATAAATATCAAAGAAACAGAATTTTTAGGCAGCTTATGTAATTAGACTTGGTGTAGTTCTAATACTGGAATGGTCAATTCTTCTGAATAATATGGTTTATCACAGTTTTCAAACTGCTGGCATTTTATAGGTATATTACAGGGGGTCATCCTATAATAAACTGGTAAAGCTCAACAAAACTTTGATTTTTTTCCCCTATAATTACTTGATTTTGTCTTACTACTCTGCCTGAACAAAGAGCACTGCTACAATAAGTCACCTTATATTTCACACTTTATCTCCCTGCACAGCAAAGAAGCTTCCTTGTTCATAATACCTAAAACTTTCATTTGCCAAGGTAGAAAAAATTATTCAAAGTTAATTTTTATATACTAGTCCCTAAAACATATAAATATGCTAATTTGTTTTAATCCAATTTACCTCAAAAATATGAAGCATTCTCATTTCAAAATCTGTTGTACAAGAAAAAGTGGGCTTCAGTAAGTAAAACTGGACTAGTAACCCTATTTATAAAATTCTCTTTGTGTAAATAATGTCTGGGTGTATCCACTTACTAAAAAAACAAAAGAAGTTTCAGTGTACCTGAAATAATCAAGTTTGCAGAAAATGTCTTTGTCTTTAATGTAACAGCTGGTGTGCCTTCCTAAGGAGGTCCTGCAGACGCTGCAGGAGAGACACCGGACATGCCAGCACAGGTCGTTCACCTGTGAAGAAAGAGGGGCCAAATGAGCAGCCATTCTAATACCACGCTTAAGAGTGTCCTTCATTAGTTTTCTATATCAGGCAATTTTAAAAGCTAGCCCCTTAATATTTTAAGACACGCTCTGAATGTTTCTATCTAAGAGGTATCATTTACATAAATACGCATCTAGATATACTGTCTTTTAGATTTCAGCCAGAAAATTCACAACAGCATATTCTATACTTCCTGTTTTTTAATATAACTTTGAAAAATTCAAGTTTTTTTTTTTTACATCAAATGTCCATTCTGCTTTTTTTTTTAAATCAACATCTATGAACATAGGGAAAATTCTGGTCACTTTAAGTCCTACATATTGGTTTTATAATTTTTCCTTGACCAAATTCTTCCCATCATAATACACTGCAACTAAAGAATTCAAGCCACATACCTTCTCAATCTACTTTTTAGCCAAATAATTATAAACTGTTCACTAGTTACAGTGAAAAAGAAAATGGACAAAAAGCTTTGTAAGATAAATACTTACCCTTGTAAAGAAGCAAGACAATTCATTTCTCTTACAAAACAGACACTGTTAAGGTAGATTTAGATGTTGATATGGCAGAAGCCCTGGCTCCCACCTAACATTAAATAACCAAAACATAAAGCACTGGTAACCCTACTTTAATGATCTGGTCATTAAAGGAAAAAGTAAATCTATTATAGGTGGTTCTAAAAAGGCACACAAGTATTGTTTGTCATTTATACTTAGTAAGATATTTTATTTTATAAAATGCTTTAATAAATCATAGCACTTTACATTGTAAATAGGGGCATGAAATACTGTCGGTCAGTGGACAAATCACACAAACCCTCACCTTAAACTGTTGCCATCATACTATAAGCTGCATACCTTTAGCCTTCAGGAATGAAGATGTGCACTGAACTGAATTTGCCTATAATGCAAGCTCCTAAAGTTTGCCCTTGTTAAATGGGCACAAGAACTTGGTTTAGCTTAATTAAATTTCATTTAAAAGAACAGCAATAATGCAAAAACAGCAGTTACATTGTACAAATGGATCTAATACCTAATATAGGAATTAGGAAATTGGAAAAAATGGGAAAATTTGAAATACAGCTTTTGCTACACTATTTCATAATAAAGACAATCTTGTCCAATGATTCTATCATGTTAGCACTACTGTTCAACATGCTTCACTGTGACATGAAATATAAAAGGTACTGTGAAGCTGAAGAAGAAAGTTTCACTGGCTTCTAATTAGTTATGTGCCTCTTTCCAAAGCACTGATGATGTTAGTGAAATTTTAAGTTTTGGTTTTTCTATAAAAGAACATGGTCACCATACAAGAAAATAGGGAAAATAGCAATGGAAAACAGACGGAAAAAAATCTGAGGAAACCAAAATTTTAAAAATTAACAATGGTGATCACTGTCCTGGATATAGAGATGCATTTTCTATTTTTTTTCCCCTTCAAATGGGTCCAATTAAATTAAAGTTGAAAAGTACAGGCTTCCATTAGTATTCCACTGTTTAAGGCCTTCTGCATTTTGATCTTATCCAGGCTCTTTTTTTTTTTTTTTTAAAGCCAAGATAGATGCAGTCTTCAGGGCAGAGTCATGGTCATTCTCTAGTTCCCTAAAGCCAGATGTAATTCCTGGTCTGCCACCTTTCCTCAAAGTTTACTAAAAAAACAAAACAAAACAAAAACCTCCGTCATCTTCTTTTTCTTTTCCAGAGAGGAAAATAAGGTGAACAGAAAAAAATTCTGGAGACTATAAACCTTTCCTGATAGCTAGCATTCATCCAATCTCTGTATGTATACATATGTAGGATCAATACAGAAAAAAAAATCACTCAAACGACAGGGCACTGAAGTATCACATGGAGCAATAGACGAATCTAACTCCTCTCACATTTTTGTTCTAACTCCATTTTACTTGCCTCATGACAGTGTTTTTCTATATTAAACAGTTACATCCTCAAATATTCTATTTAACAACTATTTTTTTCACCAGTGATTTGAACTGAATTCAAACTTATCTGGAAGAATATGTACTCAAAATGGTGGTGGTGGTGAGGGAGTTCAGAACTCAAAAGAGTTTTTATATAACCATAAAGTGTCAAACTTTTGTTAGTTTCCTATATGATAGGAAGACAGTTTTCTTGCACGTCTACTAATATGTACTTATGCATACTTTCTTGTACATATACTAAAGGGTAAACTAAGACTATGTAGAAGACTTCATTGAGAGGACTCTGGTCCTATTACAAAGGAAAGCTTTAAAAAAAAACTCATTTAGATAATTTGTTTTATACAAATATATATCTGATATATAAACATATGTTAACATATAAAAGATGAACGCTAGAAACAATTATCTATTTCAGAGGATATGTTAAGAGTCACTTTAAGCTTTTTTTCTTTTCCTCTCTAATATGAAGTGGATCCATTACACATCCATTCAGAAATATCCTGAAAGATACAGCTAATTCCTGAGAGGGCTCAAGAAAGGAAGCAGCTAGTTTTGATCCAAAAGATGGTTTTGAAATGTTCAAAGAGGTTCAGGTCTAGAAACACTGAAATGGGAAACTTAAGAATGCAGGTTTAAAGAGAAAGCCATGCTAACTTGCCAGGCTTAAGAATCAACCACTAATTAAGTAACTTAGTTACTTTTTAAACAGTTTTCACCAAAATGCCTTTTGGTACTTTATCTCAGTTATATCTACAGGGTATCATTCCAACTTCCCAGATGAAGCAGCTTTGTATGCTGAGGCAGAAATTTAAAGAAATTCACAAACTTGCTTTTTGAATTCATATTCTACATAATGAATTCTTTTGAGAAACTAGGTGGGGGGTGGTGGTGGGGAGAATAGAAAGTGAACTGGTTGCTACTAATTTAGTGTAGGAGAGATCATTATTTTAAATAGTGGTTTTAAAAAACTATTGAAGTTGAAATTCCATGATATTAGGATTAAAACACAGGGGACTATGATCCTTCATGCAATGACATGGATAACTAGCCTGCCAGAATTTGTACTCCAAAACTCCCCCACAATATCTTGAGAGAAGTAAAACAAATTAAGACAGACAGTCAACTCTCAAACCACCACTTGAAGCACTTCATCCTAGGCATTTTTCTTTTTGTTTTGTCTAACTTCACATCAATTTCCACTGCCCTCCTAAGCACTGGAGACGACGTTAAAAAAAAAAAAAATCACTGGGTGGCCTTGAAGTATTAAACCTTAGTAAGAGGAGGAAGATATTGAAAATGGTTTTTATTTAAATGGTACTACGAATTTTATTTTGGAAAAGCCTCAGGTTGGTGTAAATAAACATAAGACAATAAAAAAATATCTGTCTAGAAAAGACTCTTTAAGGCACTTCACAGTGGTTCTCAGCAAAGGAGACACTAAAAAGGGAAAATCGGTCAACATACACAAACGTGGAACCCTCAGAAGCAGGCAAACGCCTGGGTGGTACTGCGGGTTAGAACCCGAGGCTCGGTAAAAACAATTAGGTAGGACCCTGTTTCCAGAATGGGTAAGGATTTCCCCACTTCCGTTCCTCTACAAGTAGGTGGCTGACTCCAGTACATTCACCCGGGTATCGGCACCCCGAGACCACACACACAAGCAGTTTTGCATCAACAGGGGGTATTCTAAGATTTCTTCTCCCACTTTTTCTCACCTTGTGAGTTGCTCTTGACTGGGAGGTTGTGCTAAGAAAGTCTACAACCTCGAGCGAGAACTTGAGTGGAAAAGAAGGGGAAAATAAACTTCTCTCCTTCCCCAGAGCTCCCCGGGGAACCGCGCTCGCCCTGGGCCTCGCGGCTCCGCCCTACCTTGAGAAGGTACTTGTCCACGATCTCCAGGCCGCAGCTGCTGCACACACACTTGCCAGGAGGGCAGACGGAGCCCGAGGCCATGGACCGGGGCGAGGACGACGGGGACAGCGGGGCCGAGGAGGAGCACGAGTCCTCGTCCCCCACTCCCTCGGGGCTCACCTGCAGGAAGCCACGGGCGCGGTCTCAGGCGGTTCTAGAGCCCTCCTCCTCTCGCCATCCCACAGACCCGCGGGGGCTCCCTCACCGCCTCCCTTCCCTTCCCCCAAGCCACCCCCAGCTCCTGATGCCCCGCTCCTCGCCCTCCCCGGGGTCCAAGCTCCCACAGCGCAGTCGCCGGGGCTGCAGACCCCGGACCTCAGAGTCCTGGGGAGCCTGGCGGCTCTGCCCAGCCCGCCCCAGATCCCTTCCCCTCCACCGGCTCCTCGAGGGGCCAGTTGAGCCCGGGAAGGAACTCGGGGACAGCAGCCCTCCGTTCTGGGCCGCCGCTCCACGGCCAGCACCGCGGGCCCTACCCACTCACCAGCCCCTCTTCCCCGGCGCCTTTCCGAGTCCTCCCAGCCGCTAGGGCTGCAGGCCGCCCGCACTCCTCCGACATGAGACCCTGGCACTGAGGAGGTGAGAGCCGGGAAGTGGGGAGGAACAGAGACGAGAAGTTCAGAGTCGGCACGTGCAGCCCGGAGCTTCAGCTTCTCGGCACGCGGGACGAACTAATGAAGGCCCCGGCGCGCCCGGCCGCGCAGGCAGCCGTCTGGGCGCCTGGGCCCGCGCGCTGCGGGCGAGCGGACGGCGGCGCAGCCTTAGCGCGCAGCGAGGCGGCCACGGGAGCTCCCGGGGGCTCGCCCGGCGCGGCGCCGCGCTCTCCGGGCTACGGGTCCCCAGCGCTCACCGGAGCACGCCGGTTCCCCGCCCCCCTGCCAGGGGTAACGAGTTAATAACAATCATCCCCGCACAAAGCATTTTCTCTCTAGACGTCAATCACTGCGGAGCGGGGATCACTGGGCTAAAGGGGGTGCTGGGGGGGTGGGGTGGAGTAGGAGAGAAGAAAAGAGGATTTGAGGAGGTGGGGGTAGAAACTTGATTTCTTTAATAGCCTCAATTAAAAGAGAGAGACATATATATTTTTAAATGGGAGCTTTTTGAGTTGGATAGCCCGAAAGGTGAAGAGGTTTAATAGGATACTTGAAAGCTAATTACAGCGGGATTTAAGAAGCCTGGTGTTTGTTCCGATGACAATTTGAATGAAAATGCTTCATATTAAACCGAGCCAGCAGCTCTTTCGTAAACTTACAGCAATTAGAGCTGCGAGTGATTTATACTCGTTTCTTTAAGGTGTAAATTGCCACTTATTGCTCGGTAAGTCAACATTTGAGTTACCAAAGGATTATTTTTAACCAGCGCAAAAAGCGGGTCGAATAATGGAAAATATCCAGCTGAATTTAATTTGTGTCATTAAAAAAACAACTCACACAACCTCGGTCAAATGTTTTAAAGCAACAACGAGCATTACTCAAGTGTTTCCAAGCCTTTGCAGGAGTTTTGTTCTTAAACGAAAACGCAGCCGCTCTGGGCTTTTTCTGCCTTCGTTTACGGAAACACTAGCTTGGGGGGCGGGGGGGGGGGGGTGGTGTCACGGAACTCGAGCGGCCCACACTTCTGTAGTTCTCTCCTCGCCTCCCTCTTCCCTCTGACAGCATCCAGCGAGATGCTGTCCGAAACCCTGAGTCCCCCCAACCCCACCCCCGGGCTGTCTGCCGGGACCCAGCGCCCAGCACGGAGGCCGCATCCTCGCAGACACAGAGCTTAGGCAGGAGCCCCCTTAGTTCCCGTGCGTTCCCCGCAAGCATTCGGGCGAAGAAAGTCAATGGCGCCCAGTGCGGGGCCGCGGAGGCGCTCAAACAGGCTGCAGATGATTTTCAAACCTAAAACGCGACATACCCCGCGTTTGTGAGTCAACGCTCCTGCCTCCAGAGCGAGGTGAGAGTTTGTCAGTTCCCCGCTATCTACTCTAGGAACGGTGCGGCTCGAGAGTCCTAGGGTTTGTTTCTTTAGATTTTTTTTTTTTTTAAGTAAAATGGCCCTCAAGCCCTCCCTTCGATCCCAAAGGTCTTCGTGGAGCTCCGTCTGCTTTTGTTTCGCTGTGCAACCGAGGCAGCGAGGATCGCCCTGCGGCCGGAGGAGCTCCTTAGGGCGGGCAAGCGTCCGCCGGCTGCCGGACGGAGAAGCCTCGCCTCGGCTCCGTCCCTCCCCCACGTACCCCCGCCCCCAGCCGCCCGAACCACGCGACTCACTCTCCCGACCTCCCGATCGCCGCTGCAAACACAAAAGCACGACTCACATCGCCTTAGGCTCGAGGCTTCGTCTCCCAAATTACGGTCTCCATGCCTCAGGTTAAGTGAGCTTGTGGGGAGGGGAGGCAATGATTACTGCCTAAAGCCACTACGTAATAATTAAAAAAAAAAAAATTGCCGGGTTTGAAGATGAGACTGTTACAGGTAATTTCTGAACCTCGTTTAGGAGCCCAAACAGCTCGAGTTTCACGGAAACTGCGATTCAGCTGGTCTGGCCGGGCGTCGGGTCGCTCACCTTCTCAAGGGGAACTGCCAGCTCCGGCACGTCCTTTTCTTCTAGTTTACACACAAACATCTGATCGCTTTTCCAATACATGGCACTGCTAGGGCTGCTTATCACATACCAACTCCAGAGGGTCAGAGGCAGTCGGTGTCTGTCGATCTGGCCCCCCCTCCCCCGCCCCAGTGCATTAATGAAAGCTGACACGCCAACAAGGGTAGGAAGGCTACAACTCTTCGTCCAAAGAGGCCGCTGTGACCGTAGCCACTCCGACGGACTGTTCCTAAGACTCTTTCCCCAACTTCATTGAGCTCTGCCCCTCTAGGAAAAGGGGGGGAAAAAGTTTTGTTTTCCAGAGGGTGGAACCTTACGTGGAGGGAGGGAAGAGGGTGTGGGGTGAAAAGTCTTCCAGGAGGAATAGCCTCACCTCCTTCAGAAACACCCGCCTTCCCTACAAGTTAAGATCGTTATCAGGACAAGCCAACTTACTCCAGATTTAGTATTAAAGAAGGAAAAAAAAAATGGGAATGGCCTGTTAACTTTTGACTTTCAAAAAAATCTGCTCTCTGCATCTGCCGTGGCTTTTTAATTCTCACTCCCTAACCAAAACCTAAACAAAGATTCAGGTTACATCTCTTTCTGCAGCAAGCTGAAGGGGAAGCGGAGGTCTGGGTGACTCGAATGTTTTAGTCATTCTCCTGAAACGAGCCGCTCTCCTGTCTAGCCCTGGACCGCGACGGCTCCCTGGCAGCCTGGAGGCTTGAGTTATCTAGAGGTTCGCACTCCCTTTGCGAAAAGTTTTCTCATTAAGATAAAGAAGAAACATCTGAGTAGCACAAAAGCTTTGCTACTAGATTTGAAATCAAGGCTACAGGAAAGACAAAAAAAGTATGTTGCTATTAGTATTGCTCTTTCATCTCGTCCTAGGCAACACTGAAGCCCTGGAAGCCGCCAGCTTCTGCCTCAAATTTTGCCTACGGATTTAGGGGGGTGGTCCTCAGAATACTGGTAATTTTGATTAGAATTGGAGGGTGTGTTTGTTTAAATAACTTCTTTATGGTATAAATTTTACTTCGTTATGTAGTGTATAAAGAGGAATTTGATAAGACTAACAATTTTTATTTCTAATTTCCCCTTTTTAAGAAACGAAATAATGCAAGCCTCTGAAACAGTAATTAGTATGAGTATCTAAGTGTCTCTGTTTCTTAAAGGCCTTTAACAAAATCATATAACGTTGCTTCAATAAGATATATATTTATAATATTATCTCCTTGCCTTATTATCTAGAAGAGGAAGATAGAGGCGTTCCCACCCAGACTCGTCAGCAGCAAGCTAGAGGGAGGACAATGGGCAGAGATAGATAGACTTGCCGGTGATAAAATGAGCCCATGTAACAGCCTGGGACCGAGCATCGACTGCAAATTTAGTTTTTCCTCTATTACATTTTTCTCCCATAAACAGGAGGGTCTCTAGAGTATTTTCCTAACGCCAGCCATTGTTTTCTTTACGTGAAGCTGCGCCCACGTTAATATTAGCTATCCCCCTGCCGGTCCTCTCTGGGAGCTCTAGTTTAAATTTGCGGAGGTGCGGGGGAAGGGGAGAGAATTGAAGGCTTGGAGTGGACCAACTTCTCGAAAAGCTAACTTGTGCTTGGAGAACAGAAAAACTTGTGTTTTTCATCAAGTGCCAAAATTAGTGTTTTTGGAAAAAATCCACATAATGCATTTTCCATGAAATAGCATCAATCTCGAGATAGTTCTTCTAAATGGAGAGTCGTGCAGAATGTTGACTATCAGGCCGTGTATAGAGCAGAACTGAAAGTGGAATTAAAAATAAAGACCCAATTCGGCGATTTAGTTACAGTCTCTATTTGTTAAGGGTCTGCAAAATGAATCTGGGGTACTGTTTGGTTACCATCCGGGAGAATAAATCGCGCGGATCATTTGGAGATTCGGGGAGCGCTGGAGCTGTCTTGGGAAGTTAGGGCGGGGGCGCGGGCATTCATGCGGTCTTTCCACCCACCCTCGCCTAATCAGGCGGCTCTCAATCGGGTTTTCAAAATGCTAATCTTGATCTAAGAGCTCCTATCTCTGCGTAAGTGGAGGAAATTATTCGTTTTCAGAGCTTCTGGGTTTGGACAAGAAGAATGATCGTCAGACATAAGAAGACCTAAAAGACTGGTCTGGCGTCCGCTTTACCCCTGGAGCCCGGCAGGACACCGACCTTTCCCACGGGGTAATTGCTCGCACCCAGCCTTGCTCAGTAGGCCTCCGGGTGGTGAATTTATTTCTGTGTCCCTGGCGGTATAGGCCTTCGATCGCGGGTAGTGCGTGGGGGAGGGAGGAGGCGAGTGATGCGCAGGTGTTTGCTGTGAATGTCAGGGCTGAGCGTCCCTCTCTCCAGGCCCACCTTGTGACCCACCTTGTGACCCCCAGTCGAGGGCGAGCATACGGAGGGGTCTTTCCTGCACAGTGGCAACTCCTAGGAGCCCGCGTCATACCTCTTACCCAGGCTTCTCCGCGGCTCCGGCAAAGGAAGAGTTCGCCCGATGCTTCTCAGAGTACCCCTTTCTAACTTAGGTGCTTGTGCTAAAAGTCAGGACTCTTTTTGTCTGTGGAATGAGGTTTTTTAGCCCCGATTCCAACGGAGACCAATTTTGGTCGAATAAGGATAGGACCAATAAAATATCATCTTATGTGTCTGCAGGTGGGTAAGGAATCGCGGAGCTGGAGGGATTCCTATCTGCTAACCTGAAATTTCTGGAATGCCCACCTCTCCTTAAATGAAAACCGGGTACCTAAGCCCACCTAGGGGGCAACCAACACCCAACCAACAGCCCTGATGGATAGGGCTCTCTGCAAGTTTGGGAGAGAGAAAGCCAGAGACTTGGGAGTGCCTCCTGCCCCAGGCTTTGGGGCGCTCCGCTAGTTGGGAGCTGCAGGGTGTGTCCCCCTAAACCTCGAGGGGATCAGGGCAGGGGTCTGGGTTGAGCCAGGCCTTGATTGGAGGTCCATAGCTGGAGAGCGGGAACACCAACCCGCCCTGACCCCCACAGCTTCCACTCACCGCGAAGAGCTGCCTAATTGGGCTCCGAGCAGCTGCGAAATTTGTAATCGCCTAATAAGCCTTCCACCTCGGTAATTCTTATCAAAAGGCATAAAACTGATATTTTCACACTCGGCTTGCACCACAGGAGCCGTTTATAAACATCCTTCATCAGTGGGATGAAATTAAGCCTGCATTGACAGAGGTCTCTGGAACTCGATATTTAAAAGCAATAGATCCGAATTAGCAAATTATTACTTTAAGTAAGGAAAGTCCCCACCAACTTGACTATTGAACCCTTTGCCTTTGAGCTCCTCGCGGTGAGTAACCACATGTTTGAGAAAACTTAACCTGGAGTTTTCGCGGTACTCAGGCAATCTTCGGAATCTCGCTTCCTGAATCCGCGACCGCCCCGGCTCTTAGCCCTCCCACCAGCCTTCGACGCGCTGGAGTCAGACCTGTGTAGACGTGAGGGAGACCCTGCTGGGACACGGACGAAAACACAGTCAAACGAGGCGCGTCCAGGACTCCCGGGCTCGAAGGCACAGGGCCAGTACCAGCGATTGGGGCCCTGCATCTTCCCGGGCCGGCGGCTCTCGCTGACCACACCCCTACCCCCAGGCATCCGCGCCGGGGGTCGGCGAGAGGACGGTCGGAGGGTGGAGGGCGGAAGACCTCTGAGCGGTAAGAAGGCACAGCTTCTGGGTGATTCTTGTAGTGACCTCTTTACTCCGAGCGCTCAGCCAAGAGCCCTCTGAAACTGCGGAGGTCACACTTGATTCAGAGTACCCTTTGATTTTTGACCACTTCGTCTGACCATTATTAATATTGATCTGGAAAAGGACGGATGGAAATAGCTTCCGGAGTTTTTTGCAGTTTTGCCCTGCCCCCGCCCCAAACTTGCCCAGGAAGCCCCGTGACCCCTCAGAGAGAGCGGAGCAGGAAATGCTCTCACCTTGAGACTTACCGGTCCCAGGCTCCTTTCCAGACCTTGTCACCCAGTTTCCGAGGGAAAGGGAAGGGCGCGTTTATTCATGCCAGCGGAGGTCGCCCAATGGTGACGAGAGCCTCCGTCTGAGACCCACCGATCTCTCCCCCACTGCGGGCCAAGGCCGAGGCTGGAGGGTCTTCCCCGGGAGGCTAGTTTGGCTGCACTGGCCAGCCAGGAACCACAGCGCGCAGACCCGGCCTACCTCGCCAGCCCCGCTGGCAGTCTGTTACACCAGCTGCTGTGGGGTGAGCCGGCTGGGGCCACTTGTCACCAGTGGGTTTAGAAACCCACCAACTAAAACCCAAGTTCTGCGACTGAAAGGATTGTTTGTGTAGATTCCGTGTTTCTTTCCAGGCGGTGCGCTCATCCCCTCCTCGAGTTTTCCCTTCTGAGCTCAAGTAAACTTGCGCGGTCTTCTGCGACAGGAGATAGCGATACCTTTTCTCCCAGATGGGACCGCTGGTAAGAGAGGAAAGAATTAGAAGCCGTCTGCAGCCCGAAATTAGGCCGGGCGCTGTCTGGGACGCTCCCGGGCTAAATGTTACTGCACAAAGCGCAGAAGTCCACTACATCCTTTACTCGTTGTGACATTTCCAAGCCGACAATCTCGCCTTAAGCACGCTTGTGGCTTGGAGCTGCTGATTTTATATGCATTTTATCGTTCAGAATGAGTAATAGGGCAGGACCAGTGGAAACCCGATTCTAATCTATTTCTACAGACCTCTGCCCGCACAGCTCTGTAAAAGCCAAACTAGGAGTTTGGGAGAAATAACACCTAAGTCCTTTCTCCCCAGCTTTTTATTATATATGCGAGGCCACCGAGCTGATCTAGCTTGGAGCTCACTCATCTAGAAAGAGGACGCAGGCTTCCTTTCATCCATTCCCCTCACCCCCTCTTCTCCAGGGATCCCGGAGAGTTAACAAAAAACCCAGCAAGGGAGGCAGGAGAGCCAAGCTTGATCCGAGTGCAAAATCCTGGGTGCCTGACGGCCTTTCCTGGGTCGAGTGGGGGTGGTGGCAGGGCGCTGTGTGAGCCTCCCATTTGCAGGCTTCGATCCTGTTTTGATGAGAACTTGAAACTCCGTTGTTAGTGTGGGTGCAACCAACAAACAAGTCCAGGAAGTCTCACCCTGAAACCTGTGTCGAGGTTTCTAACCCCCCCCCCCCCACATTTCCATGTCCCATTGTTGCTTATCCGATGTAACTTGTGAAATGATAATTTGAAAGAAGTTTCCAGAATAATCTTGAGCCATAGTTTTTCATGTTAAATAAACTTCCATAAGGATTTCTGCTAGAGGAGACGGGCTCTGGTAACTATGGCAGTGCTTTCTCCCTCCTCCCTTTCTTCCTTCCTCCCTTCCTCCTTTCCTGCCTGCTTGCCTGCCTGCCTTCGTGGGAGATGAGGGTTTAAGAGCTATGTGTTATACTAAGAGCACAGGTTTTGAAGTTAGTCAAAGCTGTAATGGATTTTTGAGTAATTTATTTAACAACTTAATTTTTTTTCTCATCAGTAAAATGGGGAGGACAGCGCTAATGATGCTGAAATATTTTCACCAACAGATGCACAGTAGCTTCTCAATGAATGTAATCTTCCGCTCCTCCGTCCTCCTCCTTTGCCACCCAAGAGCTGTCTAGATGCGGGATGTCACCAACGGCTTAATTCCCCAGGGGAAGGGGTCAGGCCATGCTCCTAAGCACCGACCTTGATTCCAGTTGGCCATTTTGAGTAGTCCACCTGCTCGGATTCTAATGCTGGAGTGCTGCCGGGGCTCTGAAGAAGAACTCACAGCTGCCAGCCACCTCTAATCAGGGCATCTCAGCCCAAGTAGGCACGGGAACGACTTTTGCTTCCATTGCTTTATTTGGGGGTTAATCTGGCGCATATAAATGATTGGCACCCTACCTTCTGTCAGTTTGCGGGAACTTCTGAATATTGTGAAAGCAGCAATACTCATAGCTGTTGTTTTTTGTCAAAAGGAGCCGGAGAGCATAACCGTTCTTCAATAACTTGCCCAAGGCCATTTTACCAGGTGGAGTCAGAATTCGAACCCAGACACCGTACACTGAGGTACGTACGCTGAAACTTTCCTTCTTTTTCAAAAGCCCGCCTCTTAACCATTCCGCTTTTAATCAGTGGATTCATTTACCCCAACTCGAGACGGTTTTTTACATAGTTCAGTTGACCTGGGTTGCGGCTCCAGCACAGGTGGGCCAACGGTCAGCGCTTTGCCCCCGCGGGCTTCCTGCCGAGTTGCCACTGCGGGGAATCCGGTATCCGGTGGGACAGAGCGCCCCCTTCCTTCTACTCTTCCCGGTGCGAGGTTTAAAAGTACAGAATGAATAGTTTTGGAGTGTCAAATAAGCTGACCACAGGGGTAAAAGAGTTGAGCTTTTACATCGGTGGTAAAAATTTTCTCCTTTCCTTTGCAAATTAGAGAATCCGATGACTAATCATCAGCGAGTAGGTCGAAACCTGGATTGAATAAGTGACCAGTGCTCTCCGTACCTCCTGCAGTGTAAAGGTCGGTGGGCACTCCCTGAACTTTCCTCTGGACACTTTGACCAAAGTTCGGGACACTGAGTCTCCGGAGTTTGCAGAAGCCTTGGTGCCCAGCTCCAGCTGTTCAGCGTCATCTCTCTGCACCCTGTATCACCACTACTCCGGAGAAGTCTTTAGAAGTAGTTTTCCTCCTAGAGAAACAGGTGAATAAAATCGACTCCAGCAGATCTTTGACAGCACCAGGCTTCTGTCACTCTGGAGGCAAGAACCATGTGCTGTTCTGACTCTCTGGAACCTAGTTCAGTATGTTGAACCTGGGCAATAAAGGATGGCTTTTTGAATGAAAAAATATAAATATGTGCGTTGGCTGGTACAGAGGGTTTCATTCCTTTCTACGTATTCTTAGTTCCAGTTTCCTGTTTTTTTCCAGTGGCACCTTCTTGCTCAGGACCCAAATCTTTTAATCCCTTAGAAGAATGAGGCAAGGAAAGGCATAGATATTCTGACAATTTAAACTGAGGGGCTTGCCAGGCTCTACTTTTCTTCTAGGGTGAGGCACTTACAATGGCTCATTTGGACCCCTCTGGATCATCCTTCAGCCCTCAGTGTTTGCAACTGAAAACCTACTGTGGGTGCTTCAGAGACCATCGAGGTCTGAGCTTCAGTTATAGGTGAGGACGCTAATGGGACAAGGAATGGAAACATATTGGACCCCAGAAGCTCAGAGAAACCTCCATGGGCCCACTCTTGACTGCACACATGGAAATGCTGTGTGTGTTGGCCTGACCTAAGTTGATCTATGTTTTGGCTTGCCCTAGGGCAAAAAGCCTGACTGGGGTGGACAGTCAGGATGGCAGCTGAGGTCACTCAGAGCCAGATGGCGGTGCTGTCAGGCCTTCCCCGCTTGGGAAGGAGATGCACACCTGTTTACAGGCTGCAAAACTACTGAAGAACGTGGAGGGGAGGTACAGGTGATGGTGTACAGTCTTAAGCTAGGTAGATCCACGTGTGCCCACCCCTGCCCTGCCCCACTGCCCTGCCAGATCATAACTGTGTGCCCTGCGTGGCTCAGCTCCCTCTCTTCCCAGACCCAACCTCTCTCAAGCCAGGAGAGCTCTAAAGCAGAAACTGTAGGCCCTGGGGACCCTTTGACTGGGGTCCTGAAGGGCTGGAAGAGATATTTTGGCTTGGGATTACTGCACTGGGAATTTACACCAACACTAAGAGAAAAGCTCTAGGGTTTTATCTTGAAAACTGGGGTCTCGACAGATGCACCAAGATTTGCAAATTTAGCCACAGCCTCTGCAGGTAAAGAAACACAGGGAAGAACAAAGTTTTTTCCTTTAGAAGAGCATAATCTCTCTTATTTCCTTCGAATAGCTGCCCAACCCTCTGGAGGGACTCAAGAGCAGAATTGTTTTGTTTTGTTTTGTTTTTTAAAGGGTGCCTACACATCCACTACCTTTCAGAAATAACTCCTTGACTTGCTCAGCACTTAGTTTGCCTTTATCATTGCTTTTGGGTTTCACAGTCACCAAAAAAAGCAGGCACAATTTCTTGTGGAGCTTTATAAATAAATGCCTTTTCAAGGTGTCTTCCTCCTTTCAAAATACTTTTGCCCTGCTTAAATAATTAATTTTATTGATATTGTGGGGAAAACCTCTCACATTACAAAACATCTAGATCAGTCCTTGAATATCTTTTAAAGGTCAGCGTAGGAAAAAAATTATAGTTAATAAATTAAGCCATAATTCCCCAGTCTTTACATTGTCCCCCCCAACAGCCACACAGGCTGAAATATCTTTTTTCCTAAAAAGGTTTTGTATTTTTAGACAGGAATATGTGCATGTATGTAGATACTCATAATAAAGAATAGCATTTATTGTTTAGCATCAGCTATATTTAACATATGTTGTCACGAATATTCCTCACAGTCATCAAGGGGGTGAGAAGCCTGAAGTTTAGAGGAGACTCAAATTCTCAAGACTTATTTGCAACGGACTGTAGATGCAAACCAATTCCAAGGTGTTAACCACTGTACTATATATGAAGGATATTGAGTGAGCCTGGCAGGGTATGAAGTCCTCCCTCCTGGCTGGTTGGACATGTGGCTCCACCCTTGCTCTGGAGTCCTAGAAGCCTAAGTTCTCTTAAGAGCTGAGGGAATGGAGGACAGCAGAAGAGGCTTGAAGGACCTGACTGATGCTGTCTGTTAGTGAGGGCCCAGAAGCAGAGCCAGGGTGGGAAGGGGAGGAAGGGATAGAGGGGTAGGAAGCTGCGGGGGAGCGGGGAGGGAGAGGAGATAGATCGCGTGCTGGGGGAAAACTTTCTCATGGCCAGGTCGTAAATATTGTTGCATTTCCTTGGAAACACCAAGCCCCTACGCCCCTAGGGGCTGAAGCCCTTCCCCTCCAGCAGCGGCCTGGGTTGGTTCGGCCGGCGCCTGCCTTCGGAGGTGACCTCTCCGGAACGGCCCTTGGAGCCCGGCTTGTCCTCTCGGCATTCGGGCCGAGGTTCCCAGCCCCCTGGCCTTGGTCGCAGCCGGTCGGCGGCCCCGGGGCAGGCTGGGAAATTCCCAGCCGCGCGGTGCACCCCGGGAGGCGCCGAGGTGATGCGCCCTGAAGGAGAGCGAGGCCGAGCGCCACAGCGACGTATCCTAGTCCCAAAGCAGCCGGGCATCCAGCGTGAACCCCCACATCATTAATCCAGTCTCCTGGAGAAGGTGGGAGGAGGGTGGCCCCGGCTCCGAGCACCGGAATGCCTACCCCAGGCCAGGCTCTGAGTTAGGCTGGTCGCTCTGGTGGGTTTGACCACCGCCCTCCTAGCGCCCTTCTCCGTGGGCGACCTTAGGGCGGAAGCTTGGGTTTCAAATGTGAAACATTCGTCTCTTGGAATCAGATCCGAATTCCAGAGGATGTTAAGGCTTTTTTTTTCCCGGGGGGGATAAAAATAATCAGCGCCGAAGGAGACTCAAGGCCCAAGTTCTTCTGCCCATCAACTGTCTCTGCCCATAAATAGGTAGGTAATTCTTGTTCAACCCTTCCAGTTCCCAGAGCGTACATCTTGGTATCTCACTGAAAGCTGTTACAGAGGAGAGAAAACCTAAAAGCCAAGCCTACTACACACCAGGCCATGGGGGCCTGACTAGGTCAGAACTGATTACTGAAGTGATCAGTAAAGTGGTCAGGCTCGAAATGCCCAAGTTGGGAGTACAGGCTGGCTCCAGACAGATGTCGACTAGTTCTGTCCTGTACTGCTCTTTCTCCAGGAGTGGCCTCTGGGCAGGCAGGCCAAGGCCCTGAAGATCGACCCATACTTGGGAGAGGTGGGTTTAGCTTTAGGGAGGCGTTTCTAGGGATTTGAATTTCTTTTACTTGGTTTTGGTTTCTGTGCCAGCCATAGAGGCCCTTGGTACTTTTAAGACTGTTGTGCAGTGCATGAGCAAATACATACAAATGAGCAAACACTTGTATACAGCTCTAATAAAAGGTGTGTGTGTGTGTAAGAGAGAGAGGGGGAGGGAGAGAGAAGGATTTTTCTGGGCTGATGAGAGTATTTTCAGTTCCAAGTGATGTGTAGAGGTCCTTTGTTGTTGTTCAGTCCCCAAGTGGTGTCTGACTCTTTGCTACCCAGTGAATCGCAGCATGCCATCTAAATTTTCGAGATTAATACAAAGCCTTACTTCCTTTTTATGTGATCACTTTTTAAAAACATGCATGAAAATTTATGTTCTTAGTTCTGGCCACCCTGATAGAGGTTTAATACCAATGCATAAGAGGAAGCCAAAGGGAAAATATTTGTATGCCAGCCTTGGTCTGGAAAAATATCAGTAGCGTTTCTTATTTGACAAGGAAATGCATTTGCTCACCCTTTTTCTTTCCCTTTCTTTTTCATTTGGCAAAGGCATCATTTTTAATATATATCCCATGTTTATTGTTTCTGTTTGGTACTTTGGTCATTTACAGCACCATCTGTTTCTGATATTGTTCCTGTGTTAAGCACACACTATTGTGTTAGTAAGATTTTACACCATCTGTTTAAGAAAATTCTTGCCAGTGCTATTTGATGCCCAGTTGAACTTTAGCCAAACTTCATTTTATAATATTCTCTCAGTCCTGAGCATATATATAATACACTTTAATGAAATTATGCTTTCATACTTGCTGATAGACATCATAAACTCATTTGCCCAGGTCAACAGCAGTTTAGCTAAATGTTAAATAGGAGGAACAATATTAAAATAGTAAAAATGTTGAGAAAAATTAAGAAACAAAACTATTGCATTAAGATCAAATAATTACCCAAATAACTGCTCCACACACACACACACACACACAGAATTTGGATGTGGCTGTTGGGAGTTCATGTATGTTTCTGATGATTTATGTATTTCTTCATTATATATTAAACTTGGCAGTTTGTATTTTTGACATTATTTCCAAAGGTGTAACAACTGGTTTGAAACATAACAAAGTAGAATAACATTATAATGTGACTATATCACATATATATTAAATTATATTAAACACATACAAACTTAATAATTGAGCCTAACTAAAATTATATATATGTACATATATATATTATCATGTGTACACTCATAAAGGTTTCTCACTGTATCATCAAAAGGTCACAGGCAATGTTGCCCACTTGAGGCCTCTTTAAAAGTAGAGTTATTTAGGGAATTCCCTGGTGGTTCAGTAGTTAGGACTCCGTGCTTTCACTGCTGAGGAACCAGGTTCAGTCAACAGAAAGAAGTAAAGCATAACAGAAAGAAGTAAAGTATAACAATTCAAAAAATATTAAAGTACTAATATCTATATTTGTTGGCTAGGCATATATATCTAATAGTGGAATAATAATAAGAATGGAATTGGCTTGAAAAAAGTGATTACTGGCTATTTTCAGGTATCTTTTCTAGAACACCATACTCCTATTGATATATTTATCTACTTTGTTTACATCCAGTGTATACACCAGTATATACTGGAGTGTATACTCCAGTGTAAAGCCTTAAAATGGTAATTTCACATGACTGTATGTGAAATTAAAGTACAGAAATAGAAACCATACCACTTGGGTTAATAAACTTCTGACATTCATTCCCCAAAATCAGCATTCCTCAATTGACAAAAACATGTCCTTTGATTTGAGTTCTGCCAAAAACAGATTGTCACAGCCTTTTGCTTTTCACCTGGACAGACTGTTTTTATGACAGATGCTATGAGCAAAGATGTGTCCTTTAGATAACTGCTTAGGGGTGTACAGTCTCTTTATGTTTGTTTCTTTAGGAAAACAAACTTTGTCTTGGTATATTTAATTTCTAAACAAAATGTATCCATAATAATTGACATTTTTAAGGAAGAGAGTTGGAATTTAGTACTGTTTTACTGTGAGATATATCTGGTTATAGAACTTGAAACAGCCTCATAACATTTCTCCCTATATATACACTTTATCAAGATCTACATTCTCTTTAAACTGTTTATTTAGATGTCTCAAATGTAACCTATAAACCTTTTTAAATAACTGATGTTAAAACAAACCTTATGAATCTTCACACGTCTGGTTCCAATTAATCTGCTTAGACTATTTAATGGATAAAATAACAAACCTAATTTTGTCAATCTGGAGTTCTGCACTAACATTCTATGTGCCTCTTTAAGGTCTAATGCCTGTTCCTATACATATTTAATCCATAGTTATCCTCATGTAAAACCCTGGGATTAGAAGAGTAATTAACTATATGCATTTTCTTAGAAGACTGTTTTTCAGCTTAATCAGTATAAAAGTGAGATGGTCTCAAAATTATGTCACTGATTATTGAAAGGAAACTATGTACATCTTTGTGAGTTGAATTCATCAGGTATCTACAAGGTACCAGGTGCTGTGGATACAAAGAAGAGTAAGACATGGGTGGTCCTTGCTCTCAAAAAATTCCCAATCCGTTAAGGAGACTGACAAAAACAGAACTAGCTCCTTCCTTCAGTTCTATTATTGCCTATTCCTTGGGCTTTTAATTGATAAAGTGTTGGATGATCTTATCATAATACTTTATATAGGTTTTTAAAATTTAAAAATCATTTATAGAATTTATATGGAATGAAGTGAATGAAAGCAAACTACCCCCAGAAGGCTATATGGCTTCTGAGATAACCAATACTTTTGGTCCTTTTTCAGGTGTGGGAAGAGAACAAAATTAACTTAATGTTCCTGAAACATCTGCTCAATTATTTTGAGTCTTGCATCATAAATCCTCAGTCTGTTGTAGAATCTGTTGAACAAAGAGTAGTAGTAGGGCACCATATTGGAGCTAGAGAAAAATTTTAGATTTGTTCAGTTCCAAAATCTGGAACAGCTCCTTTCCTCACACTTTTGTCATTTCCCCTACAAAATAATCTTAGATTTTATCACTGAAAACTTTTACAGATGATTGGGAGGGGAGAGAAGGATTATTCAAAGATTATCATTTAAGGCAATGGATGATTGAAGTCAGTATTTTCTATTTTTTCCAACATATATTTACCAACTTTGGGAATTAATTATTCTAAAACTACATGGCAGAGTTTATTTTTCATACAAACAAGTTGGGGATTAAGTATTTAGCAGACCTTTGTAAAAAAAAGTTGAATGCTTTTGTTTATAGAAAGTTTTGTTGGGAATATAGTGTCAAAAGAGGTAAAATTTCCTTAGTATGTCAAGGAATTAGAGTCAAGTTAATTTTAATTCCTCTCTCCAATACTTTTAGAAATTAAAGTTTAGTTTTCTTCTTTTATATACATTGATGAAAAATATCAGGAGAGAAGGAACAATCATCTGATTGAATTAATTGAGTGCCTTTTACTCTTCAGGAAACATTGCATTTTAATTTTCTTTTGTTTAATCATGGGTTTTGAAGTCTATACTATATTTTTTCTCTTAGAGGATATTGCGTCTCTAATACTCATAGATCTATTTATGTGATCAGTTGATTCCTACTGGCTGTTGTCATACACTTCATTTCTGATTCTCTTCATTTTTCTTAACTACTTCCCTGGTGGCTTAGATGGTAAAGCATCTACCTGCACTGCGGGAGACCCGGGTTTAATCCCTGGGTGGGGAAGATCCTCTGGAGAAGGAAATGGCAACCCACTCCAGTACTCTTGCCCGGAAAATCCCACGGACTGAGGAGCCTGGTGGGCTACAGTCCATGGGGTCACAGTCGGACACAACTGAGTGACTTCACTTCCTTGCTTCTTAATAAGAATGCTGATGTGAAAGCTTTTACAGTTGGAGTCTGCTGACCTGTATCTCAGTTTTAGTTCCTGTTCTTTTTTAGTTAGTTGTGTGGTTGTTGTTTGTTGTTGTTCAGTCGCTCAGTCGAGTCCAACTCTTTGTGACCTCGTGGACTGCAGCATGCCAGGCTTCCCTGTCCTTCACTATCTTCTGGAGCTTGCTCAAACACATGTCCATTGAGTTGTTAATGCTATCCAACCATCTCCATCTCGTCCTCTGTCATCCTCTTCTCTTCCTGCCTTCAATCTTTCCCAGCATCAGAGTCTTTTCCAATGAGTCAGCTCTTCACATCAGGTGACCAAGGTATTCGGATTTCAGTTTCAGTATCAGCCCTTCCAATGAATATTCAGGGTTGATTTCCTTTAGGATTGACTGGTTGGACCTCCTTGCAGTCCAAGGGACTCTCAAGAGTCTTCTCCAACACCACAG